AACATCTTAAAAAATAGACTAACCCAAATGGCAAAAGAGGTCCAAAAAGCTAATGAGGAGAAAAATGCCTTAAAAAGCAGAATTGGGGGCAGCTGGGTGGCACAGTGGATAGAGCTCTAGCCTTGGAGTCAGGAGGACCTGAGTTCAAATCCAGCCTCAGATGCATGACATTTACTAGCTGTGTGACCCTGGGTAAGTAACTTCACCCTGACTGCCTCACCAAATTCAAAAAAAAAAAAAAAAAAAAAAAGGCAGAATCGGCCAAATGGAAAAGGAAGTCCAAAAGCTCACTGAAGAAAATACTTCCTTAAAAATTAAAATGGGGCAAATGGAATCTAATGACTTTATAAGAAATCATGACATTGTAAAACAAAACCAAAAGAATGAAAAATAGAAGACAGTGTGAAATATCTCATTGGAAAAATAACTGACCTGGAAAATAGATCCAGGAGAGATTATTTAAAAATTATTGGACCACCTGAACAACAAGAAAAAAAAGAGCCTAGACATTACCTTTCAAGAAATTATCAAGGAAAACTGCCCTCATATTTTAGAACCAGAGGACAAAATAGAAATTGAAAGAATCCATCGATCTCCTCCTGAAAGAGATCTCCAAAGGAAAACTCCTAGGAATATTGTAGCAAAATTCCAGAGTTTCCAGGTCAAGGAGAAAATATTGCAACCAGCCAGAAAGAAACAATTCAAGTACTGTGGAAACACAATCAGGATAACACAAGATTTAACAGATTCTACAATAAGGGACGGGAGGGCATAGAATATAATATTCTGGAGGGCAAAGGTGACAGGATTACAACCCAGAATCACCCATCCAGCAAAACTGAGTATAATCCTTCAGGGGAAAAAATGGATATTCAGTGAAATAGAGGACTTTCAAGCATTCTTGATGAAAAGACCAGAGCTGAACAGAAAATCTGACTTTCAAATACAAGACTCAAGTGAAACAGGAAAGAGGAATCATAAGAGACTTATTAAGGTTGAACTGTTTATATTCCTGCATGGAAAGATGATATTTGTAACTCATGAGACCTTTGTCGGTATTAGGGTAGTTGGAGGGAAAAAATTATATGTATATAGATAGATAGATAGATAGACAGACAGACAGATAGATAGAGGGCACAGGGTGAGTTGAAAATGAAGGGGTATTATCTGGAGAATAAAATTAAGTGGTGAGAGAGAATTATACTGGAAGAAGGTGAAAGGGAGAGGCAGAATGGGGTAAATTATCTCACATGAAACAGACAAGAAAAGGCTTTTACCGTGAAGGGGAAATGGGGGAAGATGAGAGGGAATGAGTGAATCTTATTCTCATCAGATTTGGCTTAAGGAGGGAATAACATACACACTCAATTGGGTATGGAGATCTATCTTACCCTACAGGAAAATAGGGAGAGAAGGGGAGAGTAGGGGGATGATAGAGGGGAGGCCAGATTGGGGGAGTTGGTAATCAGAAGCAAACACTTCTGAGGAGGGACAGGATCAAACGAGAGAATAGAATAAATAGGGAGCGGGATAGGATGAAGGGAAATATACTTAGTTTTTCACAACATGACTACTATGGAAGTGTTTTGCATGACCACACATGCATAACCTTTATTGAGTTGCTTGCCTCTTCAATGAGGGTGGGCGGGGAGGGAGCAAGGGAGAAAATTTGGAACCCAAAGTTTTAAAAACAAATGTTAAAAAAAAAACTGTTTTCACATGCAACTGGGAAATAAGAAATACAGGAAATGAGTACAGAAATCTATTCTGCCCTACAGGAAAATAGAAGGGGAAGGGGATAAGAGAAGGGGGGGAGAGATAGAAGGGAGGGCAGATTAGGGGAAGGGGTATACAGAATGCATGCCATCTTGCGGTGGGGGAGGGATGAGATGGGGAGAAAATTTGTAACTCAAAATCTTGTGGAAGTGAATGTTGAAAAGTAAAAATAAATAAGTTAATAAATGGTAAAAACAAAAACCCAACAAAAATGAAGATTTCGGAGAGGCATGAGAGGACTTAAATGAATTGATGCAAAGTAGAACCTGAAAAACAATATACACAGCTATAACAATGTAAAGAGAAAGAATAGAAGAAAAAAGGAAACAACACTGTGTAATAAAAATGGGAGTTTGGGATCAGCAAAGAGCTGAAAAATTATACCTTTCTCCCTTCCCTTCAGAGATGGGAAGCTGCATGGGTGTGGAATATATCATCATCAGACATTAATATGTTGATTAGCTGGTTGAGTTATTTTTTTGTTTCTTTTAAAATCTTTGTTACAAAGGATGCCTCACTAGGTTGGGGGGGGTGAGGAAGGAAAGTACATATTTGGACATGAATGTGGTTTAAAAGCAAAAGATAACAATAAAAAGTTTTCAAAAATTTTCAAAAGTTCTATTATTCTATTAGAATTTACTGAATGATACTATTAAAATGTGACACAAGCAAGTTCTAAAATACCAATAAGTACTCTTTACAAATGCTGTTCCTTCAAATTTCAGGAGTAGGATAGTTTCATGTATTTATTCATTTCTAGCAAAAAGCAACGATATTAAGTATAAACAGAACTCTTTCACTGAAGTTTAAGAGGGTGTGGAGTTACTTACTAGCTAATCAAGAGCCAGCATCTGTGCTAGTGCCAGGACTCAAGAGATAAAGCTGCTCGCCTCTCTTTGTCATTAAACATTACTGAGTGTCTATTAATGTACTATCGAGGGTACAAAGAGGCAACATGAATAATCCCAGTTCTCAAGGAGCTTACAATCTGAGGAGAAAGGATGCATGCAGAAATCACATATGACAATAAAGGGCAGCAATTATTGCCAAATGAGGTTTCTAGACAATAGATGTTACATATAGGGTTCAGAGAAGTTAAAGACCACTGTGCTTTGTCTAGGCAGGGTTCAGGAAGGATGGGGAACTCAAAGGTAATGAGAAAAGTTGTGGAGGTAGGAATGTATATGGCACAATTATGGACAACAGATTAGTTTAACTGGAATAGAGTTTTGGTAGTGGGGTGAAACAGGAAATACAGTTGGAAAGAGAGGATAGGGCAAAATTGTCGAGGATCCTGAATATCAGGTCAACAAGTTTGGATTTTCTTTGAAAGAGGAATCACCCAAAGATTTTTAGGAAACACACACACACAAAGCGAGTTTAAAGGATATATATTTGGCAGTAGTGGAAAAGATGGATTTAGGGGGAAGAATCAGATTATTTTAAGTCATGTATTAAGTGATGGAGGATGTGGATTAGGAAAGTGGAGGTGGGAATATAAAATGGGAGTGGCACTGTGAATAACAGGACATTGTGAATGTAGGATCATGGAAAAAGTCAAGATAGCAGAATATTGGAAATGTGGATGTTACCCAATCCCACCTCCCACCCAATACAGAAATCCTTTATATAATATCTCTGACAAAATGATCCCCTAGCCTGTTTAATATATTCACTGCCAAGGAGTAGCCTTGTCCTTGACTATTCCATTACTAAGTAATGCTGATGAATACAAGGTGTCAGGTCTGAGTAATTTGGAGAATGGTGGTATCACTGGCAGAAACAAGATAACCCAGAAGTGGACTTGACAGCAGTATATCCAAGGAGAAATGCTCAGCAGACTGAAAGATGGGTGTGGAACTCTTGAGTTGAAAAGAGAGGAAGATCTGGGATTCAGATGAACAGGAAGTTGAAGTCATTAGAGTAAATGAGATTTTTTAAGACAAATAATCTAGACTCACAATGGCAGAAGGCTGAGAACTGAGCCTGGTCATATACACTGATGTGTGGTTTGGGAGGAAGTGAATACAGCAAAAGGAACAGAATAACCAGCCAGAAAAATAGGAAGAAAGTCAGATAATAGAGGACAAAAATGTAGAACGAGAAAAGCAAATGGGATCTGGGAAGACTGACAAGTTACAGAATGTCAGAGAAAGAACAATTCTTTTATAACAAGTTTTTAGGCTTTTTTGTCTATATGTACAGAGAAATTCTTTCACTTTGTAATCCTCTTCATTGTATGGGCTACTAATGAAAGCTGTGCACTAAGATATAACCTGCAATTGCTCTGGTTAAAGGGTGCATATAGCTCTGATCGGTTCAGCAATGCAGTTTACAGATGAACTAACAGGATCCTGATTTGAGGCAGGCAAAGGGTCTGACTGGGTGAATTACTTCTTTTTTGTTTCCTCATCACCCTCATCATTAAAAACATGAAAGGGCGAATCAGACAATAATGAACTATCTTAATACCCCAAAGGAGGATGAAAGATGACTACAGATGTGTTTCTACTGCTGTTGGGATAGTTTATACCAAAAACAAACTAGGCATAAATTCCCAGATTCTCTGCCCCCTGCATGTAGTCACAGGAATATGAGGTTAAATCAGGCTACTGACAGTCCAGGATGCTGGGTTCAATTCCTGAAGAAGCAGGTAAACTTTTGTTTTCTGTACGAGATAAGCACTTTTATTACATCCAACAGGAACACTATTTTGGGGAGGGAAGGGGGCAGACCTGTTTTGTCATCGGGGTGGGAGCTCCCGGGGAGGGAGGGATTTCCTTAACCTACACATTAGAGAGGCTGAGGCACAGAGAAGTTAAGTGACTCGCCCAGGGCCACACAGCCAGTCTGGGTCAGGTGCAGCACATGAACCCGGGTCTTCCGGATGCCAAGACCGCCTCTTCACCGTGTTTGGGGGGACACAACTGGACACTCCTCGGAGAGAAGGGGATCGCCTTGTTTGGGTCCCCCCGACTTGGGGGCGCGCCCCCTTCACGGGCCCCGTCCCCCGGGCCCTGGCTAAGCGAGCGGCGGCCTAGCTCCTTCCTTCCCGCAGGCCGCGGCCCTCGGAGACGGGAGCCCCGGGTGCGGAGGGGAGGCACCGACCGAGGTCGGGCGGTCACGGCCGCTGAGGAGGCCCAGGCGGAGGCGGCGCCGGAGGCGACGCGAGGCTGAGTCCCGGGCTCCCCTCGGCCCCCCCGGCAGCCCCGGCCGGCCGGTACCTGGTCCTGAAGTCCGCGCTCAGTCAGTCCTCCTCGGGTCTTCGCTTCAGCCGTAGCTGCTTGGCCGGTTGCTGGGAAAAGGAGGGTGGGGGGATTGTGCGTAGGACGTAACGTGACATGCGCAGTAGAGGCGGTGCGGCTCGGGGGCGGGGCAGGAACGCGCAGTTACGAGCAGCCGCCAGACCTGCGTGGGAACCGTCCCAGGCCTGTTGGCTCACACCCTCCCGGCACCTGAACCAGGGCGAGGCCGTTGAGCTATATTGCGCATGCGTCTCAGATACCCCTCCCAAGCCCGAATAAACTCCTTTTAATTCGTACCGCGGACTCCAAGATGTCCCTGTGGCCTTGTATTCTGTGGAATGTTGGATTTAAATGTTCACTTAACCTCTCTTTGCCTGAGGTTCCTTATTAATAAAATCGGTTTCATTTGTTCAGTCGCGTCCGACTCTTTGTGACCCCACTTGGAACAAACATACCGGAGTGGTTTGCCATTTCCTACTCCAGCTCTTCTTATAGACGAAGAAACTGAGGCAAGCAGGGTTAAGTGACTTGGCCAGGGTCACGCAGCCGCTAAGTGTCTGAGACCAGATCTGCATGTAGGAAGACGAGTCTTCCTCACTCCAGGCCAAGCACTTTTAATGCCCTGCGCACCTAGCTTCCCCGATAAAACAGAAAGGGCTGTTGTAAGGATCAAAAGAGAAGGCACACCAGGCTTTGCAAGCCATGAAACGCTGTATTAGCGTTACTAGAGTAGTCTCATGAGTAACCCAGGTTTTAAGCCTGGGTATTTGCATAAGACTTTCTTCAGGCACAGGTGGAACATGGTAGAACAGTGGGTTTTGTTTTTGTCTTTTCTAGGAGCTGGACTTCACAAGTGGGCTTCTCCCCGAAGGCTTGAGGGTGGAGGGGTAGGGGTGGGTGGCCTCTCACTCAGAGAGCCTGGAACCTAAGAAGTCCTCTCCTCTCTGGACAACTCCGCCCCTCGCGCACTCTCCACCAGTGAGGAGAGTCTGTTGCAAATGCAAAGATTACCCACGTTTAAAGCATTTCCTCTGTAGGTCAGATTCACATGCAATCAGTTCCATAAGTTTTTCCGCTAATGCTTTCACTAAACCACTGGGGTCATCCATCTCCCTCATCTTTCAACTTTGGCTCTTTCACAACCTGGGAAAAGATAAACCATTTGGAGAGCAGCCTTCTCAGGATATGCCGTGGAGAACTCGGCTTTCACTTGGGGAAGCTTATTTTCCTGCTTCTCAGAAAGCTTGATTCAATACTGGGTCTGGGTCTGCAGTTTCCAGGGAGTGATCTGGGCACTGAACAGCATTCTGTCATATTTATTTGCTAGAAAGGCAATGGTATGTACAGGGGGTGTTCTAGCTTTCCCATTTACTAGCTATATGACCAGGAAGAAGTAACAATTTCTTTAAGTAGTAGTTTCCTCAGCTGCAAAGTGGAAATAATGCTTTGCAAGATGTTAATGACACATAGACGTCATGAGGAAACTATTTTGTGTAAATTGTAAAGCACAGCATAAGATGAACTGTTTTAAAATTGATGCCTCTCTCATTGGAATAGTCTTTAAAAATCAAGTAATATGTGATTTTCTTAGACTATGATCCCGAGAGCAAGATTTGTTCGACTCATCAACTTTTGTGGTAGGGAGTGGAGACAATGTGATAGCACAATTATTTTAGCACGGAATTATGAAGACAAGAAAAGATCAAACCGTCAAACCAGTACTTTGTATCTATTTTCTCCAATCCATTGTATCAGCCATTCTTTCTTACACATAGTATTACCTTTCACTTGGTGTCGAGCGTTAACTTTTCAAATCAATTTTCACCTATTATTTTATTTATTAACAGCTCTGATATATTAGTACTATTCCCCATTTTAAGATATGATTCTGAAATTTTAAGATGGAGAAAGTAAAGAACAGGAGTTGTGACTTGCCTAAAGTGACACAGCAAGATTTCAGCAGCAAAGCTGAAAGCTGAGACTAGAAGATAGGTTTCCTGACAAGTGTAATAAAAACAGGGTTAAGGACACTTGGATTCTAGTCCCATCCTTGCTCCATAATGGCTGTGGGGCCATGAGCAAGTAAAAAAATGACAACAATTACAACAACAAAAAACAACTAAAAAACACTCTGGGCCTCAGTTTCCTTATCTGTAAAAAAAGATTTGGCTGGATGATATTTAAGGTACATTAAATATTTCCACTAACATTCTATAAATCTATGAGTCAGTGCTCATTCTAAAAGACTTATTTGGTTGGCTTCTAGAAAGATATTGAAGAATTGCATATGGCAGAGTACTGGACTTGTATCAGGAAGTCCTGGGTTTGAACCCAACAAATACTAGCTATGTGACAATGGGTAATAATAATAATAATAATAAAAATAAGCATTAATATAGTGCTTTAAGGTCTACAAAAAGCCTTACAAATTTTCTCATTTGAATCTCAAAACAACCTTGGGAAATAGGTGCTATTATTATCCCCCTTTTAGGAAACTGAGGCAAACAGTTTAAGTGATTTGCCCAAGGTCACATAGCTAGTAAGTGTCTGAGGCTGGTTTAGAACTCAAGTCTTTTCCTCAGACATGTAACACTCACTAGCTGTGTGACTCTGGGTAAGTCACTTAACCCCAATTGCCTCATCAGAAAAAAAAAAAAAAGACAGAACTCAGGTCTTTTTTACTCCAGGTATCATGCTCCTAATCCACTGAACCACCTAGGTGCCTCCTCACTTAGCATCTTAGTCTCCATCTGTAAAATGAGACTAGAACCTACCTTATAGGGTTATGCGAGTATAAAATGAGATGGATAAAGTACTTTGCCAATTTTAAGATATTATAAAAATGTGAGACACTCAGTGTTTAAATTCACATATATGCATGTGTATATATATGTGCCGGCCGCGCCGTGCACTCTCCGCCTAACAGGAGCAGGCTGCCAGGGTCATACTTACCAGTCTTCGGAGCCCACCCGGATAAACATAGAGATGAGCCGATCGGTAGGTGCAAGCGCTCGGACTTTATTCAGAGACCATCACAGCAAACCAAGCAGGAAAAAACAAGAGAGAGAGCCCCAGCTCCTACTGCCCCTTATATCCTTTACTATCTCCTTATCTCCTGGGTCCACCTTCAGTGATTGGTAATAGGTCCAGATACCAGAAGGAGACTTCTGGGGTTAGCACTGCACCAAAGGAGGGGACGTGGCAAAGGAAGATCGCTCCCTGCTGCCTAACTCCTACGTGGCACAGCCCCCTGCCTCGGGAACGTGAGCTCCAGTTACTTCCTAATATCTTGTCCCTACCCCACTTCACCATGTGGTCTGTAGCCAACATCGTACGATCCCTCACAATTCCCCCTTTTTGTTTAATCAAGGGGGTGGAGATGGGGTCTCAAGACTAGGGCCTCGGTTTTGAGTGTCTCTAAGGACCCTCTAAGAATCCTAAGGAAACATCCCAATATAGTGGGTAACAGCAATAGCAGTATAAATACAAAGAGAGCTATAAATGCCCAATGAGTTATAAGGGAGGGAATGGGGAAAGAGGCATGCTTAATCCAATTGCTAAGGTGATGGACAATATCATCAGTTTCGTGCTGGTGCCAAGTGTCGGATATGTTCCGCGCCAGTCTGATCAATACCCGTAGGGCCTGGAGCTCAGATGAAAGATTTGTAGCTTGAATCCTGTAAGATAATCTCAGGAGTAGCCTCTTCCCACATCAGGATTTGTCTTTGAGCACCTTCTACCAGGATCCATCTCTCTACGCCCGCCTCCTCCTGTTTGGACAGGGGTGACCAGGGCACTGGAGCTGATGCAACCTGTGACAGAGTCCTGATCGCACAAAAAAGTGAAAACAGGTTACTCAACTGAGTCATGTTCTTGTTGTGATTCTTGACTGTCTTTCCTTTTTGCTCTCTCCAATTCCTCTGTCGTCTGTGTCTCCTCTCTCGTCCTTGTCGTCTGTCCTGGGGCTTCTTCAACTCGTTTTGTTCTTCTTTCTGATACCCAGTGGCTCCGGCCATCAGGATCTGTAAGACACAAATACCCCGGACCTCTCCACAACACTACGGATGGACCTTGCCAGCTTCCCTCATCGTCCTTCCAGAGGACTTTCTGGTTAAGAGATGGTGCATGTAGTGCTGTTTTTAAGGAGCTGGTTGAATTGCAAGTGGGTGGTGTTATTAGCTGTAGCATGCTAGGGGATAGGCCCATGTCCCTATCTAGACAGAGAAAGCTGTATGTATATAAAGCTTTATCCACGTCTGCTTGGGTAGGCCACCGCCCGGAGCCCCGACCTCCTACTCCCCCTTTTTGTTTAATAAGGGTGGCTTTCAAGGTACGATGGGCTCGCTCAACAATAGCCTGGCCTGTGGGGTTATAGGGGATCCCTGTAACATGCTTAATGCCAAAGGATGTAAAGAAGGCAGTCATTTGTGTAGATAAATAGGAAGGCCCGTTGTCAGTTTTAATGACGTGAGGGATCCCCACAGAGGCGAAGCAATGGTACAGATGCTTAATAACTGATGGGGTGTTCTCCTTACTGGATACAGTGGCCATCATAAATTTGGAAAAGGTATCAATGCAGACATGGATAGTGACACGGCCAAGGTGAGTAACATCCATTTGCCACAAGTCATTGGGGAAAAGACCGCGTGGGTTAATCCCTTTTCTAGGTGGAGAGGGGAGGAAGGGAACACAGCGGACACATCGCCTCACAATTTGCCGAGCCTGTTCACGGGTTAAACCATACAGGAATCTCAGGGAGTTTGCGGGTAGGTGTAGAAAATCATGGGCTTGTTTGGGAGGGGTGAGGACTGGCAGTAAGGAGTACTGTAAAGCACGGTCCGCTACATCATTGCCCGCAAAAATGCCTCCTGAGGTGGACTGATGAGAATAAACATGGAGAATATAGAGGGGGTTGTTTTGCTGCAACAAAATTTGCTGTAGCTCACTCAGGAGAATGGATATGGTGGAATTATGAGGTTGGAGGACGTCCTCTATGCACCTAAGAACCTTGACTGCATACTGACTATCAGAGATCATGTTGATAGGCTCGGGATATTTATGGCAAGCA